TATATATTATTTACACTATTGCTTATGGCTTGACTCGTTTCTGTTGTTGTTGTTTTTTCACGATTGCTGTCGAAATAAATCAGCCGCTAAGACAACCAATTTATTAATGGAATGTACAAACTTCGGAAAAATGAAACGTGAGAGGATGTGTTCATCGATGAATGAACAGTGTCCATGATGTGCAAAATTTGTGTTCAACATCTCATTTTTGTTGTGTGCCGATTCTATCTATGGCGTGCGAAATGGTGTTGTCGCTTATGGTGGGTTATGTAGTAATATTATACTTATAACCGTTTCATTTATGAGTTTTATAGCAGATATGCTTGTTAAATATATTCCAACTGTTTGCATATAAGTTGTACATTGAATATCGAGTGGATGATGATAATGATTATGATGGTGACGATGATGACGACATTGGCGACATATTTACGACCGTAACATTATCAATAATTGAATCAATATACTAGTATTTAGTGAAAAATGTACGATAGAGAATTTTGTTACGATGACTAAATATCACAGCGAATTGCCGATACGTGAGAGAATTCTATGCGCTCAAAAACGGAAATCACGACACCTGAATAAATTCCAAATGACAAAATCAAAAAATCATTTGACGTCGTTCAACGTCCTTTTTTATGTTTATAAAAATAATCTTGATGAGGGTGGGTCTCAGGTAATCGAAGAAAAAAAACTGCTGTTATTTGAATTGAAATGCGATTCTTTCGTTCGAAATACTCAATTGCGTCATAAAACTCTCGAATCTTTTACATCGATAATATCGGGTTGAGAGCGATAACATGATTGTGATGAGAACGAAGAATAGAAATGGATTCATAAAAAACATCACACCAATTGATGATTTGGTATGTTCCGATTTCGTATTTCATTGCTGATGCAACGAAGGCCCATCTCGTTTTTTTTTGCATAAAACTACTCTCATCTCATATTTATTGGTTTCATTCGATTCGACATTATTGATTTGTCGATGGCTTTGAATTGTGAGAATAGCCTTTTGATCTTTTTGAGGTGACAAACAACAAAGGCTATATTGTTTGATATTGATGAATATAGTCAAGGTTTTTCGGTCAAGTCAAGTGGAATCAATCATGGTCATTTATTTATTTTATTGCTTCAATACAAACTACAAAGAGAATTTTTTTATTAAAACCTTGATACTGAATTTATTTACACTTTCAAAGGCAGAATATTATTCATTATGTCTGTGATACCAACCGGCGATTTTCCGCTCGCTTTATTCTTAATTATGTAACATCTTCGTATAAGTAAGCTCTTGACAAACAATACGAGTCCCATATTTTGTCGAAAATTCCAAGAAAATAAATATTTTATTGTGTGAAGAAGCAGATTTTTTTGGATGAATAGTCAAATGAATCTTGTTATGTCAAGTACAACCCATCTCAAGCAAATTGAAGAAAAAAACCGTAAATAATGTACAACAATCGTCCGAAAATTTGCGAACAAATTTTAGGTTGTTGATAAAACGTGCACATTTCATCGAATTTTTAGGACACAAACAAAATTGTTTGTCAAATAATAAAAAAGTGTGTAGCAAATTCCATTGCTTCTCAAACTTTCACATTTTTATTGATTTTTATGTGTTTTTTGAGTCAACAGAAACACTTTATTGTAATAAATATATGTATGTACTGCAATGAGATTGAATTATGTAAAGGCAACGAATGGAATATGACTCGAATCACAGTATTGATGAATTTCCGTTGAATTTACCGAATCGCTAAATTCCGGTACACATCATTATAACATCGCTTCAACCCAAAATGCAGATCCGATAAATTTTTCATATCATCGAAGCGCATAGCATCGCATTTTGTTCGATGTAAGCATGCCGGAATTCATAATTTATGTGTTGATACTTTTAACCGGCATAAATCTTTGTTGTCATGAATCTGCATGGAATCACTAATACTTTCGTTCAACTTGTGTTTTGCAACTACCAAACCCCTTTCGTGGCATGCATAAAATCGAGAAAAGTTTCCTTACTCGTTTCTCCTTCATCTTTATCTCTTACATGATCATTTTTTTTTTGTTTCGTTTTTTTCATTCAAGGTTTCGCACACAAAGATTGTAACGCAGATGGTACTTGGTTTCGACATCCCGCTAATAATAAAACATGGTCCAATTACACAACCTGCATAAATTGGGACGACTTTGAGGTAAAAAAAACGCAATTCAATGCAAATAGAATATAATGAATTCAATCCCAAATAAAATATTTCACCACCAACCAATATCCATTTAACATCGAACGCAAACGTGATGATAAAATTTAAATTGTATGAATTTTATTTGAATAAGAATAATATAATTGATTGATTGTGTGTGTTTTTTTCTCAATTTCTTTTTTTTTGCATTGATTCTATTCTACAGTCGCGGCGACAAGTTAATTTCATTTATGAATTCGGATATTCAATATCATTACTAGCCATACTACTATCCTTAGCACTTCTCGGTTATTTTCGGTAAGTATATATATTTTAAATTGCTTTAACTCTTCTGCAAAGTCAATATAGAATATTAGATTTAACGTGCGTGTATAAAAACGAAGAGCACAATGAATGAACTATGCACGTGCCAAAGTATACAGCGATACAGTGGAGTTTTTATTTTTGAACGGAATTTGTGAAAGAGAGAAAAAAGTAAACCATCATCATCAATTCATCTTTGTTTGTACTCTGACTTTCCGTGAATTGGGTGCATAAATGCCCTTGAATTTCTTTTTCGTTCACTACGAATAGCATTTGTAACACTACGGTATGAATCATACAATTTAAATGGAACATATTACGTTGATTGTATTTTCAAACACTGAACACACACAAAAACTGAATGGAGAACAAACGCTTGAGTTTATACCGGATAAAAATGAAATGTCTCATAATTTGAATGATAAATTTGCAATACAAATTGTGGAGTGTACGAGAAATCAATTATATCTGTTAACCAAGCGACATGTATGACTGGATGGTATTTTCGTTTGTTTCCCGTTTCATGATTTGGCTCATAGTCCGATGATACATTCATTCTTTCGTGGGGCCGTATTCGCGGATCTACAGATATTTTATTTCATGCCAATGGCCACATACGTATCTGTACTCGCTGTCAGAAATCAATTTACAGCGCACTTACGGATACATACGAAAGACCTAGGGGGCAGACACGTGGAATAGGATTAGACTTTTAGTGTAAAGATTCGAGAAATTGCAATGAAATAGCAACGAAATAGCAACGCCTGTGAATGGATTCGCGTGGAATAGCGAAACAGTGCATGGAATAGCAAAAATTGTTTCACTTCAAATCCATTTGACATTTCTTTTGACGTTTATTGATGGATTAGTGGAATAGTGCGGAATAGCAGAATTAACATTTTTGACGGAAACAGTGCATGGAATAGGAAAAATAGTTTCGATTTCACATTTGTGTTTTTGGATTAGTGGAATAGCTGGATTAGTAATTTATATAGTGGATTCGGAATTTATTCTTGGTGTCTCCCCCCTAGCGAAAGACATACTATTTATTAATATATATACTATGCGCATCTATACACACACGGAAATAATGTATAGATTATTGGTAGAAATGATTTTTTTTCTTAAATCTATACAAAAGTTTAGATATCTCAACAAAAATTTATTTTTTATTAAAAAAATATTTTCTCAATTTCAATAAATATTGCGATACATATTTAACAACGAGCGCCAAAATACATCATTTAATACAGCCTTTTCTCTTTACACGAAAGAACAACAAGAATTCCATGGCTACACTCGAACGGCGACTATAGAGAATGCAACCACTACTTATGCAAACAACGTTGTCGTTTGTGTCTTACATGCTTCCACTGACTCGCCAAAGTGATGCGTGTGTAGTAGTTGACTTCTGTATAGTTGCCGTTCCAATGTAACAAGACACGTTCTTTGCATAAGTAGTGGTCGCATCCTCTATAGTCGCCGTTCGAGTGTAGCCATGTAATTGTTGTTGTTCTTTCGTGTGAAGAGAAAAGGCTGTATTAAATGATGTATTTTGGCGCTCGTTGATAAATATGTATCGCAATATTTATTGAAATTGAGAAAATATTTTTTTAATAAAAAATAAATTTTTCTTGAGATATCTAAACTTTTGTATAGGTTTAAGAAAAAAAATCATTTCTACCAATAATCTATACATTATTCTCGTGTGTGTACCACCGGCAATATCTATAACATTCTCCAAATCCATCTGTAGATCCGCGGATGGATATCCATACAGTGTTATCCCTACTAATTGGTTCGACCCATATTTTTTTCGCTTCGAATAGTATTAGCACACAATTTCCAATATCATACAGCATCTGTCTTATCTCCATTTTCAACTTTTTTCGAGATCTGATCGAAATCATCGCTTTTTCATTTGTTCCACCATTGAAAATCGACCAAGTTGAATTTTAAAATTAAATGTTTAATACTTAAACGATTTAAGTTAAAGAGTCATGAATTTTGCTCTTTCTCTACCTCACTCAACACTCGTCTATCTCGTTCTCTTTTGTTTAAATTAAAAATACTAAAAAGGAAACAAAAAGTTTATATCTGAGTTGAATTTTTATGATAATGATATTCCACGTTGTTGTATAATTTTATTACTAATTCGTCTTGATGATAAACGAAAGCGAAGCGAACACACACACACCGCCAAATGTGCATTTCAAATGCCAAATATTTCATTAGATATTCACTTTTGCTACGATGTGCGACACAGCAACCACAACCTTTTAAAAACTAGACGCGTAATGTCCAGGTGTTGCGTTTATTAAACATAAAAAACCGTGCCGCGCTCATGGTATGTTGCGATTGAAAAAAAAGAGCGGCCAACATTTTGTGATATAAAAGAGCAACATTATAGAGAATTCAATATGCGTGCAGAGTATATCAGACAACCGACAAAATAATAAAAATTATGACAAACACTCAAGTTTGTTGTCAGATTAAAATGAAAAGAAAAGAAGACGAAATAAAGCACATAATACGTAGCGGAACTTTCTATTAAAAAATTTGGAATTAAAAGTGAAAAGTTTTTTTTGTTCTTGTGGTTTTCACATAAAAAGTCTTTTCTCTGCCTTTGTTTCGTAAGTTTTCTTCTTTGAAGAGATCATATTGTTATATCATAATGAGCTTGCGACAACATCACTTTGTGAATATGAAATAACGAAAAAAAGGATATGAATGCATGCTTAATATGTATGGCACGTTGTTTTCCGTATTCGGATAAGCATTATGTCTAGTTTAATGAATTTCAATTTAATTTGTCAAGTAACAAAGTTGGATAAAATAGATTCAAGAATCTATTTTGAATCAAAATGAAACCGCTGAAGAAAATGTTATTTGAAAATTTTCACCATTCACTTGTATAGAAATTCTATAAAAAGATGTACGTGTTTATTAAGTTGAAGGGGATTGTATAAAGTTTTTTTTTTTTGCCGTAATGGATAAGGGAATGTCGAAAAAATAATAGAAGATCCATGGGAGAGGTCACACAATGTGTCGCCTCCAATACGGTATGTGTAGATTTCAATATTGTCGTGTGCCTACAAAAATGAAAAACAAACAGCACGTGTAAGACTTCATTTCTATGTTATTGCACGTTTTTCGCCGTTCATTGATGGCAGGCCGCATACCTATTATTTGTGATAATGGTGGTGGTGGCGATGATGATTTTGTGTACGCAAACACACAAAAGTTCACTTTTTGGCACCATAATACATCACAATGAATGGGCTTCGTTCAACAAGTGCATTCGACGGCCAAAGACTACGATGAATGAAAGAAAGTTGTGTGCACAAAACTAACCGTAATATGTGCGAATGGCATTTGGTTGTCATGAAAATTGATAACACAAAAGCATCAAATGTTGACGTGACATCGTCACATTGAAAACGTTTTTCAAATATTTCGCAATCGAAAATAGAAAAATATTTTCCTTTTGCTTTCAATCAATTACATAATTGCGTGTATCGTGTTCAAAATCAAGTTCTAGCTTCAAAATCTATAGTGGACACGCGCATTTTTTTTCTACGTCATTTGATCAATCAATCAAGGACGCTTTCACTCGTTTTTGTTCGATAAAACTTTGTTTCACAGTATGTCACAATCAATCTCATCTATCTTTCTACAGCTTTCGATTTTGGTATCTGTGCGTAGGTATACATTGGTTTCGTTGTCGCCATCGTAATATATTTACCAAAAAACCACTCGGTGGACATTTTTCTCATTTAATTCAGTGCTTTGGTTCGGAGAAGATTGTATTTTTTCATATAAAACATAATTTATTTATTGATTTGTCATAATAAATAGGCTCAATAATGGATAAGAAAATGAATCCGAAATCATCGAATTTTATTCAACGGAAATTTACTGATTCATTCATTTCCCGGTTACATCGCTTTATTTGTCAAATACAAACATCATCAACATCATCAAATGATAAATGACTCGATTGATAAGTGTCTCTCGTTTTTTGTTGTTGAAAGAGATTGGAATGTCAGTAGAATATACGGTACACACACATTTACATAAACGAATCGAATGAAATGCGAGCTATTTTTCACGTGTAATTTCACTTCGGGACGCTTTCAATGTTGAAGCGATGCCATGCCTGTCTTAACAATGAGCATGCACGGTGCAACGAGTGTTTATTACTCAATGCACAATATTCAATGTGCAGCGGATTGATTACGTGATTGATTTTAACAGTGTTACCCCAGCTCCACGCTCATCATTTTGTTTTTATTTCACAATGTTTCACCCATGCACTAGATCTAGATAGATATTTATTACTGCTATTGATATATCAATAAAAAACAAGCGCCCATTTAATGCATGTCTTTGCTCGGACGCTGTGCTTGCTGGACAAAACAATGGTGTCATTGCATGAATGTAAAAACAAAATATATCGCAGCATTGAATATAAACATTTTAAATCGTTTCAAATAATTGTTATGTCCAGCACATGCAGCGTCCAATGCTTTTCTTATTGATAATAGATAAATATCTATCTAGAGCTAATGTATGGTTTCACCCTTCAATATGGTCTTCTAAAAATAGCTCTCATCATGATAATAATAATTATCATGATTTTTTTCCTACTGCCACGCTCAGTGGAAATTATGATTGTTGTTTGTTGAATTTCCATATTTTAATTTGTCGACACTGTCCAAATATATCCTCTAAAAAAATAAAAGTTTGCTCATCAAATTTCCGCATAAAATTTCGTATATTCAGAAAAACAACAAAAAACAAACTCGTTAAATTAATGATTTTTATATTTTAAATGTTAAAACAAAAAATTAAAAAAAAAAAACGAGTGAACAATTTTTTTTTATTTAAATTGAATAAAATGTATTTATAGCACATTTTTTGCAACTACATCTGTTGTAAATACATTGTTAAATTGAATTTTATATGGTGCAGTATTGTCTTTAATGCACAACAACTTTGTATATTTTGAAAAAGTACGACAAATGTTGTAACGAATAAAAGAACCAGACGCGCGACACTTGCCGATATCACCGTACAGATTGACTGTTTCTAAATAACATAAACGAGCACTTACAGAGAAGGTTTCCGGTGCTATCGCTTTGCGTGTGTATGTCGTTGGAAAATACTTTTAGATTTATGTGGTTTAAATTCACACATGCAAAATTTACCACACACGCACACACATCATAGTTTACACGCGAACTTTAAGTTATATAGATAGTAAAAAAAAGGAAATTTGATTAAATCGTTCACTTAGAAAGTGAATCCATATTTTAAGTCATGTGAACCGAATCGGAAAAAAAGTCGGCTATCGCACGCAAAATTCATGGCATTTATATGTTTTCCACTTATTTATTTATAATCCATTGCTTACTGAATTTTTCATTCGAACCGAATGAGTGCTTACTCTCTCTATCTTCCACCACATCTCTCTTTTTTTTCTGTGAATAATGCGTGGAGTTAAAAGTAAGCAAATCAAAATGCCTGGCGGCCGTTTCGCTATTACACAAAAAGAGAGAAGAAATTTCCGTGGAACGAGATTACGCATTGGTGATATAATGAAATGAATATTTGAAGTTTGCTCTTGGGTCTAAGATTAGAAATTATTTACGGGCAAGGATTCAGATTTTGACATGCCTTTCGTGCAGAAGCATTTTTGTGTTCGTTTGTGCCGTGCAATGAATATGTAGAGAGGCATAGATTTCTTCTTCTTTTTTTTACCAATCCAAACTCATAGATACGAGTGAGCCGAATTGTTCAAATGATCTACAGGATGTGCATATATGCAGATCGGATAGGCTAGGATAGTGGTGTTGACGGCAACGGTGAGCAGCAAATGTTTGAAAAACATTCCATAGTCGTTCGTTCAAGATTTTATGATTACATTCTACCTGTTGGGTTATGCCTTTATATTTTGATTGGGTCGGGAAAAAAGGTATAAAAAAAAACTTACGCGTAAAATAGCTTGCTGACTGACACAGCTTTATGCTGTAAATGTGTTTTTGACTCTTGACTTGCTCATACTACAAACAAGATAACTTCCATACAATAAAAGCATTAAGCATTTTCCAAAAACTTTCAGTTTCAAAGCTCATACATTTGCCAAATACGGTACGCCACAGTAGACCCAACTAAAATGCCAAACAACATCGATTGTTTCTATTATTCGAAAAAGCGCCACATCATCAATACGCTTCTTTTTTTTATGTACATTTTGGGGTAGTCATTGTTGAAAGTACATTTGTGCGGTTCCTTTGATTTCGGAAAATTGAAAAGCTTGCGTAGCCACCTAACAAATATGTGCACGTACATGAATCTACCACAAAATTTCTTCATGTCCCATACAAAAATGCAAATACCCGAGGTTTCATGGAATACCGCATGATATTGATTGCAGTGTGCTCTGTGCTAAAGTATTACGACCATTTATAGCAAGCAGAAACTAACATGCATCTGATAAATCATACAAAACATTTTGTGTATTACTTCTACAGAAAATTTGAATTTGACATTGATATGGGAATTAAAAAATCGTCTTCGATTCACAAAAATCGTACGTTTTTTTTTTCAAACTTCATCACATATTATCGTTGATTCGATTCCGTAACTTAAATATGCTAAATTCTTAAAAATTCTATCTTTCGTGGAAAAATCTATTGAATAATAATAAAATCGACAATTTTCATGGAAATATGTATAGTTTATAACGAGTATTCGCTGTCAAAGCCATTATCAGTTTCACACTGAAATCCATTTGATCCACTTAAAAATATGGCCAGTTTAAAAGTGTTTTGCTGAAATTTACTGCTTTCTCCGGAAATCAACTGTGATTTTAAATGTGTACAAGTGTACAACACCAATGAAATCCCATCTAATAAATGATGATGACATCGTATATACACACCCAAAAAAAAAAATTGAAAGAAAAATAATACAGAAAGGCTTCCGATAACAAAACCAAAAATGGAAAATGGAATGAACACCATCGTCTTCTTCATCAAATGCATGGAAAAAACACGTAGATTTACCCGAGAAAAAAAATATTCAAGGAATGAAACGAAAATATTTCTATATTACCCTTGGGCGTCATTTCTGCGGTCGACGATGTCATTGTTTGTACAGATACTGTTGGTAGCAATAATGTTGGCATCGTCATCAGTTGATAGACCAAACACAACGCAATGGAATAAAAGATGTTTTGTAACGGATATATGCCGGGAGATAAAGAAATTAACAAGTGTACCGCTGACGAAATGGCTAAATGGAAAAAAGTCTGCTCGATTTTGATACACAAAAATATACTGCACAATTTATTTGGTCGATCAAATCAACACGAAACAACGCATTCAACTAATATTAACGACACTGATACAAGACGACATACACTATCGAAGCAAAATGCGCGCTACAACTATGAGCGAATTTGCTCATTTTTTCCCTTTTTTTTTATTTGTATTTCGTTCTGACGGGAAACAAGGAAATATAACGAAAATCGAAAATATGAATTCAGATGAAGAAAAAAAAACCAGAACTGTCAAGCAATTTTCCATTTCATTTGATGCATACGAACGGTTATGATATAAGCTGGATACTTTTTTTGTCGACAATTTATCAAATTAGTTTCATCTTTAGATCGATTGTTCATAAATGCAGCATATTTTGACTGGTTTGTTTTGTTGGAGGGGGGAGGTGACAATGAAGTTGAATGATATTTATTACTTTCTCTTCACGTTTTTTTCATCCATTGTTATTGTTGTTTTTTTTTTTGCATTTGGAAGATAAACAGTCAACATTTTGGCATGACTGAGGCGCTGAAAAGCATGCTGAAGGGAACATTTTTGAAATAAAAACATTTTTTGTTCAGTTTGTTTCAACTGAATAGATGGACAAATGTTTGACACATGAAGGAAAGTATAGAAAACAAACTGAAACGAAAAAAAATCAAGCGTGCAAATTTGGATCTGTTTATGACAAAAGATATGGATATGTGGATATGGAACGGTGTATACCGTTTTTGGGGCTTTTTTATAGACAATTTGTCCCCGCTCAATGTTATCACATTCGCAATGACATATGACATATCTCATTGTAGTACAACACCGAGAAATGAATATTTAGTCAACTTATACGATGATCGTCATAGCCATTAGATTTTAATCGTTATAATTTGACAGATTTTTGTTTCACGTTTGTTTCATCATTTTCTTTTTGTTTTTCTTGCACAGGAAATATGAACGATTTTCCAGGTTCACGATTTCTGTAACGAATCGAATTTAGACCCTATTTGCAATTGACAGTTTAACCATAAAAAGTGATTCAATCAAATCGCAATAGCATCTGTCATTGTGTAAATATCATATTTTGATGCACGAAAACTTTATTAACTTCTGCATGTTTCACTGGTGACCGAAAAGCTGGGAGCAAATTCAGATATTTGCTTTTTTTTTATTTCTGGATGAAAAGTAAACAAATAATTATTCGAGACGTATTTCTGTATTTTGGCTTCGTAAGTGATATATGATACTACAAATGGGGTGCTTTTTTAAATTCCTTCGGAGTGTGCGGCATATATATATGGTTCCATTGGTGCTTGTTTTAGTTTTGAAATTAAAAACGCCGTCACTTGATTCTCCCGTTCACCATTTGACTATGTAATATCGATGCTGTTTGAAATGGCAACAAGAGCCATTTCAACCATACTCTCGGTTGTGTAATTTGAAACGCATCCATATCGAATCGTATTTGAATTTGTACGCAAACACATATATACACTGAAAGATTGGAATGAACATTAACATTCATTGAAGCATAATCGTTCAATCTCACATGAATTTTGGTCTTTTTGCGTCTCTTTATAGTGTTTTTGCATTGGTATTCCACTCAAAACTTTGCAAAACAATCATTCGAACAAAATGTGAGTGTGTGTGCGCGTGTACGAGAGTACATGTATCGATCATATCGTCGTATAACAGCCCTCTCTGTCATATGTACAGTTGCATATGCTCTGTTGCTGAAAGTGATTCTGGTTTGAATGTCAATATCAAAGTTAACATTTATTCCGATCCTATCTGCTGGCCTACGACTTTTCAATACCAAACGAGAAGAAATTATCATGTTGTCTGTTTAGATGAACAGATTGACAGATAAATAGAAATAGCTCTTCTATTACTGACAATGCGAAAGAAAAAAAAAGAAGATCCAACTTAATTCTAATTTTTTCCTTGATTTCAGGTCATTAAAATGTGCCCGAATCACAATACATATGAACTTGTTTGCTTCATTTGCGGCAAATAATTCCTTATGGTTACTATGGTATCGAATGGTTGTCCCCAATCCGGATGTGATTGAGCAAAATGAGGTAATTCATTTATTATTTTATCATGTTTTCTTATCAGATCGCACTTTATACTTGCTTTGTTGTTATATCGTTGATGAAGCAATTCTCGTAATCATCGACAGTCTTCGTCGCCATCTATTTCTTCTGATTCTTCGGCTTTATTTTTTTTACTTAATGTACATGAATGTGACATAGCATGGCTGCGTCGATCCATCAATGTGTGAAAGGGTCTAGTCGCATTGGGATATAAACAGCTTACTAATTCGAGAGTAGTGACATTCGCCCAAAAGACAAAAAAAAAAACAACTTTACCATTGAAGACTTCAGACTTTTATCCATTGAAAGGCCATCGAAAACAGATTGAGTGGTTTTAGTATAGGTTGAAGGTTTTCTGTATGAACAACATTGTTGGCGGCAATTTTGGATTACTCTTGTGTGTATTTCTTTTGTGAATTTGAAATTCCCTACTTTCGAGTCTTTGAGACTTGGTCATTATCAATTGTTACACATTTTATTAATTATATCAAATGTACGTTGAGAGAATATTTACGTTTATAAATCATAAGTGGCTGCGATTTTAAGTAATTTCATTGGATGCCCCATAAAAAGCTCAATTCCCAGTTGTATGTACAACTAAAATGACACATGTTTCAAGAGAAAATCTCATTAGCCCTCTTGTCTTAATAGCATCAATACAAACAGCCATGTTTTAAAAAAAAATCTCGTACGAAAGTGCTGAAAATCTTGAAAATCTCAAAAGTTTATTGCAATAAAGAATTAAATCCTTGATGTCAACTGTCACGTAATAAATGTTATATAAGTTCATGCCAGTTTTCCATGAAACATGTTAAATGTCATTTCAATTGAATGAATTATAAAAAAAATGGTGATAAATAATGGAAATAGTATTTGCTTTAATGATTAAGTTTAATGGCATATTTTTCCATCACGTTCAACGTGTTCATTTGCTAGAAAATACTTGAAATCATAGTTGAAGGTTCCAGGTATGGAATCAATAAAACTGTGAAGTGTTGATGATGACGATGTCTCATATTCTATTGCATCGTAATTTCAATGGGCAATAAAAGATGCAAGCGGTTGACACACAAAATGCTTTTAAGAAGAAGAAAAAATGGAATTCTGTCTTTTTTCAACCGGTATTATTGAGGGTACTTAAATAACACTCCCCCGATCTTCATATAGATGCTTGAGCTTTTTTGTTCTTTTCTCTTCATTGTGAGCTGACGATAATTCCATTACAAATATCAAAGTGTATTGTAATCTTTAACAATTATCTTATGTGATCTGAATCACTGAATGCGATGAACTTGGCATAAGTTTACTTGAGAATTGAATGAGATGCGTAAATTGCTGGATGACAACCCTCTATTCAATCCAAGGTTCCATTGTTTTTGTGTATATATAAAACACAATATGTGAAAGATAAAACGCAATGGCATTTGCTTTGCAACAATAAACTACTCTAATTGATGAAAATAAAGCAGCAAACATTATTCAACGCGTTACATTGCTGTGTTGATTGTCGATTCAATGGTAAAAATGATGTGCGCCTTTTTGTTAGTTATCACCCTAAACATTGACTCCGTTGACTGTGCTGTTGTTGTCCCAGCAAATGGGAAAATATTTTTAATGACGATTTCTACATAGAATGACAGATGGCAAATTGTTTTCGAGATTTTTTAAGATTTTTATCTATTTGATGTTGTGCTTTCATTTGAACGCGGTATGCATATGAAAAAAAGCATAAAGTATTCAGTGTTAGTAATGCAGTTGAATGTTTACACTTGCGGTTTGTTCGATAAAGATTAATTCCAAATGAGTTTTTCGTTCAACATCATCGATCACTGGAAAAACCATTCAAATTTTATTCGTAATGTTGGTGGTTAAATTAACACATATGCGATTGTATTTGTGTATATGAGTACGTGCGCAATGCAATTGCGATAAGATTGCCATGTATTTTTAGTATGTAATTGTGTTGTTTGTATTTTCAGTCGAGTTGTGTTATTTTGCATTTGGTACTTCATTACTTCATGCTGAGCAACTATGCATGGATGCTGTGTGAGGGATTTTATTTGCACACTGTACTGGTATCAGCATTCATATCGGAGCATCGTTTGGTGAGGTGGTTAATGGCATTTGGATGGATTGCTCCAGTATTCATATTACTATCATATGGTTTGTCTCGCGGTTTGCGTGGCACTGAAAAGCAGAACTTACAGTAAGTAATACCGATGAAGAAATGAAATGGTCGGATCTTAATTGACCATTAAATTATAATGGTAGTATACGGAACTAACACAATTTTTAAGTCAAATTATAACAATCGTCGTAAATAAAGAAAAAACAAACACCGAATAGTTGCGATTATGGGCAACAGTTTTAATCCGTAGTTAATACAAAGTAATCGCTAATAAATCCCAATTTTATCCGGAAATTATGAAAAATGTGTGAAATTCTTAAGAATATCTGTAGTTTGGCGGATATTTTAAAATAATAATAAACAGTTCAGCATTTAATTAAATTTAAATTTTTCAAATTAAATCCACGAATATCTGCATATCTTTCCAGTAATTCAAACATTTCGAACAAATTTCATGTAAACATACACAGCCATTGCATGATATTCGTGCTCATTATATATGTATATTTGGTGAATAAAAGATATTTTAACGCTTTCTCAACATAAACCAACTCGTAACGAGTTTAAAATAAGAACAACGAAAATGCTTGCAGTATTAAAAATGATAAATCAACTGTTTTAAAATGATTTACAACGGGATTTGTACAATTGACGGATGTGGAAAATGGCGAAATGATTAAATAGAGAAACAAGCATATTTCAATTATTGTCACACAAAATTACGATTTAATCTTTCATTTTATGTTCAGAAGTTGCGAAGACGTAAATTGAATCATTTATGGTGAACAATATGAATGAGACACAAAGTGCTTACATCACATAAAGACTACGTCTTCAACATTTTACACATGCGCGTGTTTCATTATTAAAACGAAAATTATGGTGGTTGTAAAAAAGTCGAGCAACAAAAGAAAACCGAAATTGTTTAAAAGAGAATTTTTAAAATTTTAGCAATTAGATCAACCATGTAATTGAAATATGAGAGTGTTATATTTGTTCTAATTAATTTTCCGGTTTTTTGTTTAATTTTTTCTGTCTCTCTCTTCCGTGGATGCTGTTCTCCGCGCTGCTTTCCATCTTTTATGGCTTCTTGTTAATGGAATTTTGTGGAATGGAATAACTAACGTCGTCTACATCGTCGTTGTCATTCAATGGCTTTTGACAACGGCTTAAAAACTCGAACCACAATACACATGTGCACGACGCGCCACGTACTCAAATGCATATACATTCTACAGTTGTTGGATGACCGATACGCCGTACAATAACATACTTGTTGCGCCCGTTTGTATATCAATGATGATGAATTTACTGTTTCTCTGCAACATCGTTCGGGTTTTATTCATGAAATTGCGAGCACCAGCAGGACCACAAGGTGGAGCACCATCACGGAATATATTGCAAGCGTTTCGGTAAAATGCATCGTTGTTGTCATTTTCATCCCATAATCCTCAATCAGCATCTATTTTGATTAAGAGAGCCGCACCATTACTTTTGTTTTAACCTCTATCGCTTGGTCTCTCTCTATCCCTCTATCACTCAAAAGACCTTTTGAACATTAACAATATCAATTCGATGCTTTTTAATTCGGCTGCAATATCTGAAAGATGCAAATTCACTGATTTGGTTTTCGATTGCTTTCAACCAATATTCTGCCGTATTTGATTGTTCATTGTTTCTTTTTTCCATTTTTTTTTTCTCTCTTCCGTTTTATTCAGTGCAACGCTGTTGTTAGTGCCGCTATTGGGTCTACAGTACGTATTAACACCGTTTAAACCAGAATCAGGCCATTCATATGAGATCGTATATGAAATTGTATCAGCATTTACAACATCATTGCAGGTATTTGCATGAAAGAGACGTGAACGAGAGGTTTAATTGAAAATTGAATTGAAACGTTCGAAGTGTATTGAGAGGGAGATAGAGAATACGATTCATTTGCAATTCAAACAAAATTCCAAACTAAATATGAGCACATGAACCAGGTCAAATGATACGTGGACAGAAATGCCCTTAATTGTACTATCGCCAAACCATTGGCCATTATTATTTGTAACTCTCCAACAATGTCATCGCATCGACGATGTGAAGAAAATATTCATCGATAACACCATTGTATGGATTGTTGTTCATTTGCACAAATTCCCGTGTGCATCCAAAATCCGGTATGCTTCGTTCATTCTAATTTGGTGGGCACAAACAAATTTATGATAATTCATTTGATTAAACGCCGCCATAAACAACCGTTCAATGAAGTGGGCTTGAGAATTATTTGAAAAATGGCATGCCAAAAATGGGAAAATTAACAATTCCAAGCCATTGGATTTGGCATTTGGCGAGCGAAAATCAAAACTTATTGAATTTTTGAAAATCCATTAACCGTTTTGGATATGAGCTGATTATCGAACTAAATATGATGAAACCCATTGAAATCGTACCCCGATTCGATTTAATCAAATTGAAAACGCTTGAATTAAATTGAAATTCCATTTAGATTGCACTTGATTAAATTTTCAATCCAAAGCTGATCGAATAGAAAATGTATTTTGAAATGCAAATAACAACAGAACAACAGATGTGTTGCCATCTATTTTAATCAGTTCGAATGATCATAATTTTATTGTAGACAATCAGCACTTTGATAATTAATAGTAATCTTGGAGTTCTTTGTTTTTGCCGCACTTTCGTTATTCATTTAATTTATAAATGTATGGCATATTTACCGGCCAAATAATAGCCATTCCATTATAATTTTAATTAAGCCGTTGGCAGCTCACATGCATATAGCTATCGTGTGTGCACATTATAATGATTGTTGAATGACCTAACTATTGTTCTTGTCTACATCATATGATTTATAATCAACGTGATATTGTTGCAAGTTGCAAATTTATTTTTTTTACAAATAAACTGCAATTTTTTTTTCTCTCTCTTTGCATAAATAAAGCATAGACTATAAATGCCATAGGTATACCAATATAATCCGGTTAACTGTTCCCAAATGGCATATCAACCAGGGGCAAGACACAAAACGATTCAATTTTTATTTCAAAATTTAAAAAATAGTCATAACTTCTGGGTAGTTTCAAAAAAAGCTTAAAACTTAAAGGGTTATTATATATCTAGTTTAAAGTTTAAACTTCGGTTTTAACAAAAGTGAGTACTCAAAAAAGATAACTTTTGTGACTTTTAAATTCACGAAAAATGGAGTTTTACACTAATCCATCAGTGCCAAGCATCATATCCGATTAGGTAGCGATTTTATTTGTTAAAATTCAAGCTATCAACACTGGCGTTTTTTTCATCAGCATTGTAACACTGAGAATTTAGATACACTTTGCAAAATCTTTTTATCTGTTTTCTTCGTTTTTTTAATTAAAAAGAATCGAAATTTTTCATTAAACCAATTTTCGTATATTTCGTCCAAAGTTTTGCGAAACCAATCATAGTTTACTGCAAATTTTCTTATAAAAAGTTCCATGTGTACTACCCCTAGCATATCAAAATCATAAACTGAAATGGTTGCATTGTGGCGTGTGTATTTTTGTTCTTTCATTTTTTGTTATGCTCATATTAACAAATACAGTTATGATTCTTTGAAGTTGTGATATATCGCTATCAGATTTGTTTTTATTATTGCACGTTGCCACTCATTTTAAATATGATTTGTTTTGCTATTTCTTTTTTATACATTTGTTGCTGGGTCGATAGTATATATAAACCAATACTAACCATTTTTCATTACCGTAGAACAATAAATTGTATAAAGAAAAAACCATTCGCGCTACGCTTAGATTTTTTATTGAGAAAATTCGTGCAAAAACTATATCGTCCCATCGTAAAGTTGGCTGAATTGCAACAGTGAGTTAGATGTTAGAACGTTTGAATATTATTCGATTTTCCGTATCGAAGCCGAACAAATACAACGACACAGTTGCACATTTTATGTAGTAGCATTGATTTGAAAATGCCAAAAACATTTTTATCGTATATGTTCGAGAGAGGAGAGAGAAAAAAATGAACTGGTAAGCTTATCCGAAGCTTAACCGTATCGATGCTATTTTTAAAATAGAAAAACGAATAAAATAATTTTGAAGCACGCACAAAAATTGGCATTACATCCCGTTATCGGATTTCAATTCCATTTCGATGTGTGTTTTCTAATTCAAAATATAGTGGAAAAGTGGCAGATTTTTGTCGTTGAAATTCATTTCACCTCGGTGGCGGACAAACGATGTTAGCGTCAACAGTGGAAAAAGAATGTGGAAACTGTTGGAATTTCGTGCATTATTGAAATGACTTGTATTTAAACTTCCATTTCCATTTCAATTTCCATTTGTGCAAACGGTGTGAGTTTGGAGTGTTAGTTTTATAATATTATTAGTTATAATTGTTTGAGTTGCAACAGTTTGAAAGTGGGGGTACGGTACGTAGAGTTGGCAAGCAACAGTTCAACAAAATTATCGCTAAATTTAGCAGCCACTTCCTTATGCTCTCTCTATATCGCCATGAGCACATTTATAACAACACTCAACCGCCAAGTTTGTTGAGGGTATTTTACTCTTTTGCTTCGTCGCGTCTCTCTCTCTCTCGCTCTCTGTCGTTTTTGCGCTTTGAAATAAATTCGTAAATTGTATGTGGAATGTTAACACCACCTCTAGCTCCACTTCGATGTATGCGGTGTGCGCTAAGAGACCGGATAAATTTCCTCTTATTATTTCTTCGTTTGAGTTTTTTTCTCTCGTTCGTTCGTGTGTTTTCCGTTTTGTATTTTCTTTTATGTGTTGATTCTTTCACTTTTTCACTTTGTAATTTAATAAAGCTACATTAATCAAATTAGTTACGATGCTTCATTTTGTCTGGAACGTTTTAAGTTGGACATTATGTCTGTGTGTATCAATTACACAATGCGCGTGTGAGTGGTTTTTTTTTTCGAAAAGAAAGCTGAACGCAAGAGCAAATTATATGGCTATCGTAAGCGTTCAATGCTAATGAAAATCAGCTAAATCTTTCTATTTCTTCAATTTAATTGAACCAAACAAAGGAGAAGTGTACATCGGCTGGATGGATGAGAAGGGGGATGGATCGGCATCAGTGAGAATTTCAACATTACTTTTTTTATTGTACCATTAATGCGTTTTGAACAAAAGCTTTTTCTGGTATGCCGTTATCGGTTTTCATTCAGAGCCGCATTTTTCTATCGACATTGAAAATATGCCTTTGTTCGGTCACAAGTTTTTGATTTCATATTGTTCATAATAAACAACATATCATATTTCAACTCACGCTCGAAAAACGCAACCATTCGGTTTTGCCATCTAACATGAATTTAATACGATAAAACTTTATGTGCCGAATATATATTTTTTGGACTGTATAATTCACATTCCACACAATTTATCCATGGATAATTGCTGCTGCTGCTGCTATTGCCGTTACCTGTACTCAAAATTCATCCGGCACAATTCTTTTATTGTGTGCACAATCAGTGGAACAATGACACACTTCAACTTTTATAGCCTTGTGTTGGCATTTTAAACATCGACACTTCGTATTTATGATAGAAAACTATGCTAAGATTTATGTTATGGCTTGCATTGCACTTACGGCGAATCAAAAATATTTATAATCCATAAGCAGAAGCAGAATTCTCAAATTTACAGCGACTGAATCCTAGCATGTACGTTATAATAGCTGCGAATGACTGTTTCTCAAACTTCCAAACAAATTTCCGGCAACGAAATGCTATTGTTTGCATTGAATTGTATGGCGTCCAAGATTTTTGCGGCGATTTTCGATTTCTGTTTAATAATATTTGAATATTCGTTGTTGAAACAAATAAGCATTAATTTTTCAACATGTTTAATGAGATAGTCCAACCATTTATTGGAAATGATTGCAAAATATTCAAAGCATTCAACTAATTGACCCGTGATAATTTAAAAGTGCACTACATTTAGATCAAATTCCAATGGCACTTATTATTTCACCGCAAATAATATTCTTTTAATTAATCTGTCTGTTTGATTTTTGTATTCAAAGAATCCACTTGGTAAATGTTGTCCATCGAAACGAGAATGAAATTAGTTGGACATCTTAGCAAATGATGGAATGTAATGTAATGTTATCAATTAGTTTAATTATTTCGTGATGTTTCACACCTACAACGATCAACTACTTCATAATGAAATTAATATCACGTAACATTTATGAGCGAAAAGCCATTAAATGTGTGCCATAGTGTTGAAATGTTAAATTAAATTTAACTTTCAATTCGATTTGCGTTTCTAATTTGACATTCTTCTTCTTTCGTCATTGTTTTTGTTTCGCATAGGGTCTGTGTGTGGCGACTTTGTTCTGTTTCTTCAACGGCGAAGTGATTGCACAGGTAAAACGAAAGTATCGAACGTTATTCTTCAGCAGTCGAGCGCGTTCGAATTCATATACAGCGACACAGGTTTCAGTAAGTATCGATTTCCCTTAAATGACTCAAGTGCAGAAAAGCGTACGAAAGACATATTCTTACATACATTATGATGTTTTGCTCGTTTCTCATCATCGTGATACAGCGTACACTCGTTCATTAAATGTTGTCTACGAAACCGCACCATTTTCTTGGAATGGATCCATTCCTTTGTTTTCTTTTTTCGTCATATTATCTTATTTTTTTGTTTCAACATTGTTGTTGCTAGATATTTTATCATCAATTGCACTTGAAATATGTGTTGTATATCTACTTCGTGAACGAGCAATCAATCATTTTGTATGTCATCCAAATTGTACATTTGCTTTTTCAACGTCGTTTGTTGTGTTTTTACGATGAAATGTAATCGTTTTTTAGTAAAAACATCGCATTTTGTTGCCATACAATTGCAAATTTCAATTTAGACACACCAATTGCAGTTTGTTCGTAATGGACCGCCGGTACCGGGAGAGGAGAAAGTTTGACTACGCGATAAATCATACCGAGGTCATCGAGATCGTAACGATGATGATGATCAAATCAAAGTGACCATACACACAACGCCCAACTACGATTACGATCCAAAAACCAATAGCCAAACAAATGATAAAGGAAATTATTCGAATTGGTCAAATGATGCTGGTGAAACGTTGGAAATGCTCGAAATCACACAATCCAAAATCAATAATAATAATGGACGAGAAACGAATGGGCATCGTGTTAATAATTGCAGTGGACCATTCAAAAATACCACATCAACTGAACCAATCGACACTTACGATAATCTGTAAATTATAAGCTATAACACAAACTGATGAATGCAAGATTACCACTTACTTGCATCGCCAACAGTCTGAATTATGAACTTATTATAAGGTTAAAATCTTCGTTAAACACACATAATATACACATATTGTCTCGCGCTGATTTTGGCTCACACAAAATTTCAATAGATTTGGACACATTCAATTCAAATCGATATCACATTGACAATTGAAAATTGAATAAAGACAGAAATAAATTGAATATGCTTTAAACAGCACAAATCCATCTTCAAATATCGTTAAGTGTATATTTACATACATACATACATACATACATACATATATATATATATTTTAATAGAAATTATAAAACCAAAACTGTTTCATTTTCGTCAAAGCAGTTCATATGATTTAAGTATTTTACTAATATAATCGAATCAATGTGGGCTTAATAAATATGGCATAGAATAAAAAAAAGTTGAGAAAATTTTGAAAAAATGAAATTCTAGTCGAAGAGACGTGCAAAACGAATTGTTTTTATATTTAAGCGTGTACAAAACTGTGTAAGTGTCTTAGTTTCATTATGTTTTTAAAAGAAAAATTTGGAAATGTGCAAACAAAACAAAACAAAAAATTAACAACTCCTATGCTTAATGTGTAAGAATTTGAGAAGCCAAAGTTTTGTTTAGACATATATATATTCAAGAACACATTCTCTCAAACACTCAACTGAATTGAATTCGAAATATAACCAAAACACAAGCAAATCAGGTTTTCTATCTTTGAAAATGTATTCGAGAATTTTAATGTACTGATAGAAATACTAATGGGTGAAAACGATGTTAGCGTATTTACTAAACACAAACATCAACAAAACTTTAGTTTTATTCTCAATTTATTTTTTACATTCTTACTTTGCATTTTACTCTTTAGCATTAATTCTTATATATTCTGTAACTTAAATGCACAAAAGAACAACAACAACAACAGCAACAACCACACCGAGCTTATTTATAGGGGAAAATAAATGGAACAAAAAGAGATACGCAGACATTATACATACACACTTACATTTCCAATCGTATTTTCAAAAGGGTAATATCTCATCGAGCATTGTGTTGATTTAGAGATAATGTGGCCAAACTCAATCAATGATTTTTGGTATGCACAACAAACACATTGCAAATTGCGATGTGATCGGCATGCAATCAGACCTATACGGTTCAGTGGCCGATTTCGGGCATCCAATTTATACAAATTCAAATCCAAATATCCAAACATTGTTGTAGACACACACACAAGTGTGTACAGTCATTGCAAATCAGGGTCACAAATCACCTGTTTTTTTCATTACATTAACCAAACATTCTAAAAGTTTTCTGGTTTTTTTTAATGTTTTGATATTTGGCAGTATTTGGCATTTTTTGAAGCTTTCGGCTTTGTGACGAGGGTATCGTACATAATTTTCTGTCTTTTTTGATTGAGTATTAAAATTGAACTTTGTGTAATTTTTCGAAAAAAAAAAAAACTGAAAACTCATTTACGTGCGATTATTGATTTGTATAAGGAAAAATACGAATTTATTATGAAATGTTCGCATAAATGTAATTGCCATTGAAGATGTATATAGAAAATATGCTGAAAACGATGGGAATATGCTTCTAAACAATAAAATCACATGTGAAATAGATTATCATCCAGATTACCACAACTCAAACAGTTTTATGCAGTTACGCCAATAAAACATTCATTTTCTTTTAACAGTCTGCAATCGTCAAGTTATGGGAGAAACCCATGTTCTGTAACACATTTGATTGTATCTCATGTATTTTGTGCTTCAAAAAGTTCTTTTTATTCATCTGTTTCATTTTAAAATTGAAAAGACTAAACAAGGTACTCGAATTGGCGGTATGGAAGAAAAATAAATAAGAGAAGAAGAAAAATTATCGCATTATGAATTTTTCGATAGAAGCCAATAAAGAAGATGCGCATTCGAAATGTTTCATGAAATTGCAACGTTTAAAATATAGTATTTTCTATAATACATAATATAACATTTTGAAATCGCATATCTCATTTTGGTGCGTTGAATTTTTCAACATGGAAGATTGTATTTGATTTTTTCTAACGGTTCGATTGTGATTATATATTTAGCTTTTGACGGTTAAAAATGCCAAACATTTTTGCTTGCCGTCAGTTTTTCGGAGATTAATTTTTTGAAGGTTTTATGTCACGAATAGATGATTTTACATTGTATGTGTATGCAAAGTCGCGCATCATTCATGAAGATTTTCATGGCCTAATAATTCATCAAGCCCTGATTTTTCGCAGCTTCAATAAGCACGAAATTTAATTAAATCCATTCAAGAAAAGAATTTATTGTCAAAATTGATTTCATTCAGTACCATCCGCTGCCTCCGTGCAGTGTTTGTATTTATTTGTAATTTGTTGTCACTCAAAACACAAGAAGAAACAGTGCGACGGAAATTAATAGATTATGAAGCTCAAAATTGAATAGAATCGCAAAGTTTGAAGAAGAAAAACCTTGCAGCTTTTAGTATATAATAACTGCAGAATATGTTATTTTATTAAATGTACAGAAATGTTGACGATATGATCCCATATATTAGTGTTTCCTTTGGTTGAGCGTGTCCTATCGCAATATCATCATTTGCGGTCTATTCTCTCATCAAATATAGCCAAAAACAACGATTTCGCAAAACATTCAATTCAATCAATTTTAAAGGGCTATTTATGTCATACACCCTACGTAATTCGAATTTTAGCAACAGAAAAAGAAGATATCAGAACAGAGAACCAATAAATGAATAACACATAAGAACATACAAATATAAATGTTATTTTTGTAAAATAAAATTGAGAAAAGGTGGAAAGAGAACGAAAATCATATACACATATACTAAAAACTAAGTTTTATTTTGTAATTGTGCATGTGCACACGGCGAGATAAGAGATGCCCGCATTCGCAACCACGTATTTCTATGGAACACAAACACAAAATGGATCGGAACGGACCTTAGTCTTAACATAAATTATCATCAAAGTGAATAATAAATGTCATCGAAAGCGAAGACTTCGACGACGATGATAAATTTACTGAACAAAGCGACGACAGATTCGTTTTCAATCAAGTATACCGAACAAACTTAATGAGTGTTATTTCCGTATGTCCGTGTTATTTATCTGAAATGTTAAATTTTTTTTTATTTTATCCCGAATTAAACATATGAACGCATGGAAAATATAATGACAAAAAAAAAATATTTGTGTAATTGTGAAATGAAAAAAAAAAAAACTTTGAATGAAAAATGTAACATAAATGTTTGCAAATATATAGAAACAAAACAAAAACTAATTATGTAAAATGAAATAAAGGCTCACATAAAATCACCATCAATACAAAACAAATCATTCTGTATTCATTGTGCAATTTTATCCGTATCAAGTGAAACGGAATGTCTTGAAATAAAAATCGGTTATTCCAAAGCTAGTCATTGATTGATTATTTGGTTTATTTTTTTATAATGACATCGAATTCTTCATCACCACACATTGACCAACGCATGAATTAAGAGAACGATATGGAGAAAATTGAGCCACATTCATCGACAAATTATTCAAACAATGTTTTCCAGCCAACTTTGTCCGAACACAGAACATGTGGAAAAGCGTGCCGACATGACGTGTAACATGTTATATGTTGTAAGTATAAGCAGAAGTCACATGTTGCCCAAGTTTGAAATTCCTTCCTATCCAAAAAATGAAAAACGGTAGCCTATGGTATGTGTGTACCTGTACTTGTACATGTGCGGTATATGTATTAGTATACATTGGATGTGTTTAAATTAATAAATGAAACAATCGAAATATCAAGGTAAGTTGCACAGCTTGTGCAAAAGAGTGGAACCTTAAATAATAAGAATATATGATTGTGTCTTGTTTTCTATTCGATAAAATTTCGTTGAGTGTGAACAATTCCGATATGGACGCAAACGAGATATGATATAGCATAAATGAAAAATATTATTAAATGGAGAAATAAAATCGAAAATATTGATGGTTGCGACAGACGATGCTGTTGTAAAAGAGAGTATATTGATTTTATCGCTTCGATTTTCCAATGAAAATATGTGAATTTAAGTGCGTTCGAAAAACATGAAGAGCATCAGCCGATAAGTAAGGAATTTTTTTTGAATTGATAAACAATTCGTTTGACATTCACCATTTGGATACGGCAAAGTGATACACCGAACAGAGACTGTTTGTCTATTGTTCGATTTCGATTTTGATATGTGCGCGTCGCGCATTGAAAAAGAGTTCTCAAGTTGAATAAACGATCAATTGCTGTTGACAATTTACATTTCAGTGACACTTGAATCAAATATAGATACGAAAATTCTCTGGCTCAAAAGCAATAAAATCGAGAGAATTCGTGCAACAGAAATATCGATACACTTGACGATATTTGGTTGTGCATGTACGGCCGCATCCAAATTCTTCACAATCATAGTGAAACCATTGCTTCTTCTTCTTTTTTTTCATTTTGGATCAACAAGTTTTAATGTTGTGAGCGCGTCATGTGTGCTACATATTTTATTTCCATCCATAAATGTACTCGCATGTATTTCATTTTGGCGAGTCCATATGTTTGTTGCTGCCAATGCTGTAGCCATCGGTTTGTGCAGAGGTTATTGCTTGAAATGGCGCTCACATTGCACAGTAGCACATCTAGATATAGATACTTTCACACATTCAATTCAAGTCAGTTCAATTTGCTGTTAACAATATAAATATACATTGAGATAGAGGAAATGAAATGGAAAATCAAATATATGTTCCGGTACATATGCCTACCTACGTTCGGAAATGTGTTTGCTAAAATGTATTGTATGGCATTCTATTAAATATGAGAAAAGGGAATGAGCCTGAGTTGA